CATCTTTTTATACCTCTCATTTGCATATGTGAAAACAGATAGTTAATGCAGGTCACCAAAAATAATGTAACTACAGTTCTAAAAGTATTTTTTTCTATTCTTTAATCACCAATGAATGCTAAACTGCACATGTAAAAATTAATATAGACTTTTGTATGCGTTTTAAATTCCTCTGCATTATAACGTCATCACCATGTTTATCTGTAATTAGTTGTGTCTTACTATAGATTATGCACTGTATAATATAAAAGTACTATGAAATGCAACCATAAAACACTCAAAATTAACACAGTATAAATGAGCTGCCGAAAATAGGGAAGAATCACATTTCGGTGACAGATTAGATACAGACAAGTGATACAACAGAAAAAATGTAAATACATTTATTCTCTGAGAAAGGTTATTATTATTCTTTTAGACATTTTTATTTAGTGCACTTTTTATATTAAGGACAATCAATCGTAGCCCGGATGCATTCTAATTCGACATGCGCAAATAAGCTGACAGCCCAAAGTCTGCTGTCTTTTAACAAAGATTCCTACCCTTCTGTCCAATGTTCACAAAAAAATCTTGTTTTTTTTGGAAACTGATATTCAGTCAAAATTTTACCCCACACAGCTCCTTACTATGGAATAACAGATTTTAACAGGAAATCAGTCTTTATCTCTCATTGTTATTAGAAAGGGATTATGTTTGTTACTGATTTTATGGACAGCAATGGAATATGGTTAGAGCATTGTGGACAAATTTGATTTCAAATGTACCAGGCATGAACGTCTTCAATTATATAAAGCTGTTTCTAATGCCCTTATCCTTCTTACAAAACACATAAAGGTTTTCTATTGTCACTCCAAGTCTTCCCAAATTTCTCATGGTTTTGGTTTAGATTTAGTTTTCTTTTTGAGTATTCATTGGTTTAATTTTCACTTTGAGTTGTTTTGTACTTGAGTTTTTATGTATTTCACCTTTGTGTCAGTCTCCTTTTCCTAGCTCTCTTCTAGATTCTTCCATCCACACCTGTTCCTCGTCTGCTGATTAGCCCAGTCTTTGTTCAGTGTCCCATTTATACCCCTCTTGTGCAGTTTCTCATTGCTGGTTTCTTGTCTTTCCTCACTTCTCATTTGTGTTTTCCCTGACATCTCTTTTGCTGTATTTTTTTTTTATTTTTTTTTTTTACTTTACCTTCTGTTGCATTTGAATTTACAATAAACCAGCAAAAACTCATCTCTGTCTCCTTCCATCTCTGCATTTGAGTCCTCTTCAAACCTCCACTCTACCTGACAAATTTAATGATAGGTTACACTCTAGCATTTGAAGTCTCACACCAAACACTGGGGCCAATATGAAACAACATGTTATGCAGAGTAGACCTATGAATTAATATATTAGCTTAGTTAAGATTAAGAATCACAGTTGGGCATGTGATTTTGGCATTTGACCAATTAGATGAGATCTTGGATAATATGTTACCTACTGTAAATTAAGTTGAAAAAGGTTGATACGTTGAGTTAATAGTTTACAAGCTAAGTTAAAAAGAAACAAAATTAAAAACCTAAGTGAAAAAGTTGAAAAGTTAAGTAAAAAAGTTAAGCTAAAATAAAAAATGAAAAAATGTATGTGCCTATATCAGCATTACTGTTCTAAGGTTATGTTGTAAGAAGATTCAGGTCAATGTTGCATTTCTTTTAGAAATATTCTGAAAGTTTCTGTGAAAAAATGACAAAACTCTGACTGCTTAAGATCGGGTGATAAGTGTCGACAACCTATTTCACCAGCAGGTTTTGATACATCATTTAATTAATCCATAGATTTTTTTATACCTGCTTTATCATGCAAGACCGTACTGAAGCTGAGCCTATCCCCAGTGGTCTTTGAGTGAGAGGTGGAGTACACCATGGACAGGTTACTAGTCTGTGCAAGGAAAACACAAAGGGCACACAGAAAAAAAAATCAAGCATACCCTCTCACAACTTAGGATAATTAAGGGAGAATAAACAGTCAGGTTTTGGAAGCAGTCATGTATATTTTTAGAGTACCAAGAGATATCCTGCACATGCATGGTAAGAACATGCAAACCTGTGCAGAAAGTGGTCACAGTGGCCAGAGTATGAACACAGGATGTTCTGGTTGTAAGACAACAGTTCTGCACAGGCATAGGACAGTGGTTCAGTTTATTCATGAAACTCAAATTAATAGCAAATGCTGGCATTGGACATTTTACTACATAAAGATACATACAGAAGTATCTTTAAAGTTCATTTTTGTCAGGATCCGGGGCTTTGCCCACCAGAGGGCGCCGTGGATCCAAGCCTGGGGAGCTTGGACTCAGCATGATCAGCTGTTTTCTATCTGCTGATAAAGGAAGCTCCCTATATAAGCTGAGTGTGAACTTCCCTCTGTGCTGGATCGTTGTGTTTTACCTGTTCCACCATGCCTGTCTGAATCTACAACCTGTAAGTCTGTCATTCCGGTTCCAATAAAATACTGGACTTTTAATCCTCCCTCTGTGTCAGTGGGTCAACATTTGGGCTAGTAAAACCATCGCATCATGACAGAATGATCCAGCCAACCGACTAGCCCAGCAGACTCCTTTGTACGCGCTCCTGGAGAGCTCCCTGAGCTCGCTCTGTGCCGTCTGGAGACCCCTGAGCTCGCTCTGTGCCGTCTGGAGACCCCTGAGCCCGCTCTGTGCCGTCTGGAGACCCCTGAGCCTGCTCTGTGCCGTCTGGAGACCCCTGAGCCTGCTCTGCGCCTTCCAGAGACTCCGGATGTGGAGCCACAATCGGTGGATCCCTCTGTTCCTGAGGTGTAGCCACAGTCGGTGGCTTCCTCTGTTCCGGATGCGGAGCCCCAGTCGGCGGCTTCCTCTGCTCTGGATGTGGAGCCGTAGTGGGCGGACCTGTTGCAGAGCAGCGGGAGCAGAGACGGCGTCCTTCTCGGGGCTTCTTGCTGAAGCGGAGACAGTGTGTCTCCCGGTGCTTCCTGCTGAAGCGGAGGTGACGCCCTCCTCCAAGGCCCCTGCAGCTTCTGAGACTCTGCTCTGCTGCCGTTTCCATGGCCGGCCACCCGAGACTCTTCCTGGCATCCCTGTTTCGCCCTTCGCCCTCCATGGGCGAGTTGTTTTTTTTTTTTTTTTCTTCGGGGCGTCTGGAATCCGCCCTTGAAGGGGGGGTACTGTCAGGATCCGGGGCTTTGCCCACCAGAGGGCGCCGTGGATCCAAGCCTGGGGAGCTTGGACTTAGCATGATCAGCTGTTTTCTATCTGCTGATTAAGGAAGCGTCCTATATAAGCTGAGTGTGAACTTCCCTCTGTGCTGGATCGTTGTGTTTTACCTGTGCCACCATGCCTGTCTGAATCTACAACCTGTAAGTCTGTCAACCGGTTCCAATAAAATACTGGACTTTTAATCCTCCCTCTGTTCCTGTGGGTCTGCATTTGGGCTAGTAAAACCATCGTATCATGACAATTTTAGTCATTTGGCCAAATTCACAGTCCATAATACACATTGCAATTCCCTCCTAGTTTAAGTAGTGAGCCCAGTTTATTATGCCAGTTGGTAAATTATNAGTCATTTGGCCAAATTCACAGTCCATAATACACATTGCAATTCCCTCCTAGTTTAAGTAGTGAGCCCAGTTTATTATGCCAGTTGGTAAATTATTTCTCCCATCAAGTCCACATTTAGATCAGTGATTATTAAGACTACTTAATGTTTGCCTCTGCTAACAAACTTCAATTTTCTGGTCTCAGTATCCCATAGAACATTATATAAATTGCTAATCCTTGTGCCTGAGTAAATGACCTTACCAAAAACCCAATTAAGAGTCTATGAAGCATTTTTAAGAGAAGGTCAAAAATGAAAATGTAGATAAACAAAGCTCACTGCTAACAAATGAACCTCAGAGCTTTTTCAGCACCTCAGAGAGTCAAAGGCTTATTAACACTGCATGAAGGAGGCCCACTGAATTCTGCAGAATATGGACATCATTTTTAACAACACATCTGATGTTTCCATATTCCTCATGTTTGAATTTCAAAAATATTGTGATTTTATGTATAAAAGATTTGTTGAGAACCACAACCAGTGAGGGGGCAGAATATTTGACTGTAGGTAGGGCTCTGATCCATTTGGGCTCTTAGAAAGAGCAGCCAAACATTTATTAATTAAGCTAGATTTGTCCTTTCAAATCTTTGACCAAAAATATTAAAAGCACCCCCCCCCTCCCAAAAAAGGAAAATACAACAAATTCATGTTATGCTTAGCAAAGTGCCAGAATATAAGACTTTAACACTTGTAATACATGTCCAGCACGCATCACAGCCCATGGCTTTAAAGTTATGACCTCATTAGCTCCAGATTGTGGCCATATAACCTTAAACCCAAACAGATGAGGTTAGGATGGATGAAATGTTCTCGTTTTCTCTTGGGCACTGAAGCGTGATTTTCAAGGTAAATATTCTTTCCCCAACATGCGCCAGGTCTTTGTTGTTTACCAAGAGGTAAAGAGGCGGAAAAGTGAGGGGGATCTGAACTGGTTTCCATGTCAAACACTTCAATTCACCATAGAAACTCAGATCTTAACGCGGAAACTTTATTAAACTGTGATGGTGGATTGATAAGGGCCGAATTTCTATCGGCCTCTTTTTATTGTGGGCACCGGGCGGGCTGACAGAGGTAAATTGCTCTTTTAATTAAAGCAATGCACCAGGGGAAATTGCTGTCTGAATATTGTCTCAGAGATGGGGGCCAGTGACAGTTGCCTGGAAACTTCAATCTGTCCACCCGCATTTATTCCAGATCCCAGTTATGAGATAAAGTTTAATAAAAATCTTTTGCTGCGCCATGCACCGCCGAAATGAAACCCAAGTCTTTCTGAGCGTCTGAACACAATGAGACAGGAGCGCGGAGGAAACCTCATGTTCAACATGTATCTCTCAGGTTCGTGCATTAGGAATTAGTCAAACAGGCTTTTATGTTAGAATTGGTTGGATTTTTGCAGCATTGTTGTGTCCAGCGGGAGAAAAGTGTTTAGTTTCCAGGCAGAGCTTTGCAAAGCGCTTCCCTCTGAAAGCCTGTCTGCTCTTTTGTCGGAAATCGGAAATCCTTTTTCCTGGACGCGTTTCCTGGCTTCTTCCAGGGGGGACCGCCAGGATGACATGCTTCACGCACTGGACTTTGACTGCACCACAAAGCCACTGGATTTTAGTTAGTTTGGGGATCCACCTGCTTACTTTTATACCTAAATTGCTGCAAAATAATGCATTTAAAATTTCACTATAAAATAGAACATTCTTCAGAAATCTATTTTGGGGAATTTTATAGAATTTTACCATTTTAAGCGGAAGAAAAGAAATTTAATTAAGTAATGCAACCTTTTTTGCCATTTATTTAATCATATTTAGTTACTTTAATACAATTGTTTCATTTTAGCAGGGTGGGGCATAAAACAATTGTGTTAAAGTAACTAAATATGATTCAATAAATGCCAAAAGGGGTTGCATTATTTTTTTCATTGTAATTACTGTTTATTTTTTAGTATTCAGACTAATATTTTATTTTATTCGTTAACGTTTGAACATTCAGAACCTTCTAAAAATAGCACTTTTTTCTTTTCCGAACAAAATTAATATCTAGATATAAATAGCTAAGAAAAACCTACCCAAAAATAATGTTGTAATGTTTTTAAAGAGATATATGTTAAATGTGAATAATTTGTCTGTTTTTTTCTTTCTTTTTTCTTTTTTTTTTTTTTTTGCTTCAGATCCAACAGAAAATCTGTTGAAAGAAAGTAAAGGAACGGCTTGGAGCCCTATAAATACAGGAGTGCAAAAAGGTAAGAATGAACACAAGGCAGGAACTATTTAGTCTTATAAATCAAACCAAATTACGCAAAATTAGAGCTTCTTAAAAAAAAAAATAATAATTTCTTTAAGATTAGTTAAAAAAAACCAACAACAAAAACAACTATTTGCTTGCATGATCACAAAAATAAAATACATTGTTTAAAATAGTAATTTTATTCTAAATTTTTAAGCAACCATGCAGGCTCGTTATTTAAAAAAATACCATATACTCTTGAGAATCAAATTTTAATATAATTGTTACTTTTTAAATTAAAATCGTTGTATAAATTCTTATCCCATGTTGGAATATTAAAAAAGACTGTTCTTATTTTTTTGCAAGGGATTATTCATTGTAATTTGAAATAGTCGCTATGGATAATATTAACGTGAGTCTTTTTCAACTGATTTGCTGACAGAATTTTTACTTCAATAAGTAAAAGAAATTATTTGTGCCACAATTGGAAGAAATATCTTAAACCCAGAATAATGATATTACCTTACAATTTTGCTTTTATACAAGAAATAAATAAATAAGAAATACATTTCCTAACAATGATTTTAAGACTTTCAGATCAGTCTGAAAATGTGACATTGATCCTTTTATTTATTTTTTTGTTCTTCCTGCAGGCAGCGGACAGATCCAGCTGTGGCAGTTCCTCCTGGAGCTCCTTTCCGACAGCACCAACGTGTCCTGCATCGCCTGGGAAGGCACCAATGGGGAGTTCAAGCTCATCGACCCAGACGAGGTGGCGAGGCGCTGGGGGGAGCGGAAGAGCAAACCCAACATGAACTACGACAAACTAAGTCGAGCTCTGCGCTACTATTACGACAAGAACATCATGACCAAAGTCCACGGCAAGAGATACGCTTACAAGTTCGACTTCCACGGCCTGGCGCAGGTGTGCCAGCCCTCCACCACGGAGCAAGCCATCTACAAGTTTCAGGGGAACTTTTCCCCCATCCCCTTCTCTGGCATTTCTAAACTGAACCTCGTGACCCCCGGCGTGGGCCCCTCGGGTTTCTCCTACTGGCCCGGCTCTCCATCGGCGGCTCTGTATCACACCCATAACCTGCAGCCTCCTGGGCCCTTTGGCACAGTGTCTCCATCTCACATCAGCTGCGTGAATAACATCAACAGTCTGACCAACATCAACAATCACTACAACTGACTCCTGCTGCATGTCACATGCAAGACTGGGATTAAGAAAACAAATAAAGACCAACTGTTTTTTTTGGTATAGTTCGCGGCCAACTATGACTAAATTCGGCCTGCATTTTGTCCCGAGTTAATGAAAAAGTATTGATCAATAGCAGCGGGAAATTTGGCATTAATTCTTACTTTATTACATCCAAATAATTGATCATTACTGGTTCGTTTAAATATGAACTAAACAATCTGTTACGCAAACCAATCAAGTTATATGTTCAGACCAGAGAAAAATGCAAAATGTATATAAACATGTAAAAAAATGAACTTGCTTTGATTAGTTTTTAATGGAATTGTCATTATCAATGTTTAATCAGTAAATATATATAAATCCACCAGAAACAGCGCCTTTTTACGCATAGACTCCTTACGTGCAAAATGTCGGTCTTTTTATTTTTATGTTTGATTAAATCTTCCAAATGTAGCATTTATAAAATCAACGAGCATATAGTTGTGGTAGTTTCTTGGTAGGAAATATAAACATCAACATAAGACACAATAAAAAATTTAAATTGATTTCTCCTTTCTTTCTTTAAGTTGTCTGTCATTTTGCGCTTTTTCACACTTGGTTGCTCGGTTCTTTATCCGACCTTTCCGCAAACCAAGAGAACCATCCGCAAAAGGGAGGTTTCTTCTGTCCCTGTGTCATTTTCAAAGCTCTGGATAGAGTAAAAACTGTTTTTTTTTTTCACTATGTATTAATTTACGGGGAAATAATTACTGTGATTTTATTTTTGCTCACATTTTGCCTGAGTTTAAGAATAAACAAACATTGACTTGTGTAAAGTAAGTGAAAAAAATAATACTTGAGATGTGGTTGAGTTTTATATTCATTTTTATATTAATTTTTATAATATACTCTAACCATGTGCATTGGTAAAAAAACAAACAAACAACAAAAAACAGTTTTCTATACGGGCACGAAATGGAAGCGAAAAGAAGAACCTACCGCGGAGAAAAGAAAGAAAGAAAAAAAAAAAGGGAAAAACGACCTTAGGCCGCTAATGTTATTTCTTATATCATATTTGTTTTACGTTGTCGAGATAGAGCTCTGGCACCACCTTGTGGTAGAAACACAGAAGTTTAAATGTTAAATTTGAGGTTTATAAACTGCCAATTAAATCCCATTTAAGGTAAACTACGGGCGGTTTGCAAAATCAATGTCAGACACAAACTTTTGCTGTTTTTTGAATTTCTTTCTCCTACTCTGCTGAATTAAAACAAAATAACACATAAATAAAACTGTCTAGATGCATCTTGGGAAAGGAGGAAATTGAATATGTAAACTGCAGATAAGACAAATTAATTGGCAGTTAATAAAACCTTACAAACAAACAAACTACAAATTAAAGCTGCACAAAAATAATAATAGCCAACCCACATGAGGTCTGAAGTCGCCTAATTGGTGCTTCTGACACATATAGAATATTTGCCATATATCAGCAGCTAGGAGTTGATTGCGTATTGATCAAATCAGAGTGACTGTAGTATTGTTAGTGCCATTCGTTGAGTTTACTTGATGTTTTCATAAAAATATATAGAAAACTGACAGATGGAAAATTGCATCCATTTGGATACAAGCTAACCCATAAAACAAAGTAGAATTTTCAGCATCTCTGTTCTAAACAAGAACAAACAAATCAACAACATTTATTTAATTCGCTATCAAAGTTAAGAAAGAGCAAAAAAGGAATAGCTAACTGGATGGACATCTCCTTAAGCACAAATAGATTATTAATAAAAAAAAAGAAAAAAAAAAACTTAGAGGCTTGGACAGGACTTATAATTGATACAACTGCAAGAACACAGATACACCTAAAGTGGTTATAGATGATAAAGACATTTTTATAGAGAAAGTCTTGGAAATTAAAAAAAATAAATAAATGGTCGGATCTGTAAATGAATACCTGTAATGGAAGATGATTGGCTCACTAGCACTCACTAGTGTTCAATAGCATTACGTCTAAATACTTTATCTTGATAGGTGGATGTGTGGCACATTGAGCAGCTGAAGAATATACACTTCTTACAAGTGAAATGAGATCATGTTGAGTGATATTAGATCAAGCACAGGTGATTCTGATGCAGCGTAAATTTACACGTCTATAGAGATTGATCTGAACCAAAGCACCACTAACGTCACCAGGATGGCCTACTGGAGTTCACTAAAAACCTCAAGTTTGTTTTTTACTCCCATAAGCTCAGCTAGAGATTCAGGGTCAGAAAACATCTGGGCTCTTGACATCTGTTTTTAGCCTATTTTTTTTTTTTTTTAGCTAAAATTGAATCAAAGCACCTCTAAAATCTAAGTTGTGTTTTTATTATGTATGCAGTTAGTAAAATAAAATAAATCTAACAAAAAAAAAAAAACTATAAAACTGTAAAAACTGTACAGCAATTGGGTTAAAAGTTATATTTTAACCCCCTCCCTGTCTCCGAAACAGTTTGATCCATTATAAGATGTAGGATATGCATAACTATATATTCATCGTGTTAAATCCAATCCATCATAATAGTGCCAGTCCAAAGGCAGAGAGGTGTACACAGGAAAAGAGAGTAGCAAGGTGTGTGTAAAGAGCAACATCAGGAAAAGTCAGGTAACAAAACAGACTAGTAGCACATTGAAAAACGTTTCATTCAGTAGATCATTTTACATTTATATTGGAAGTTATGTTTTCACCCCATATTAAATGCTTTTCAGAAGGACCTATACATTTAACACATCAGTGCTCGAAATAAGACTTCTTTATTGCATTGTTTTTATTTATCTGTATGCTTTACTACTTGCCTAATTTTCCTATACAGCAACAAGAAGAACAACTAGAAGAGACGGAGCAGAGCAGGGAAAGACAAAAAAAAAAAAAGAGAGAGCAGCAAACCAGCCACTAAGTCAAAGGATCTCAAAATGTAGAACATTGCTCTTAAACAGTTAAAACGCCTCTAGTTCCATCTCACACAAAAAAGCTTAAAATGGTTGGAATATTGTTTTAAAAAATGCAGTATTCTTTTCGCAAAAGTCTCATATAGAATTCATTAGTGATTAATTGAGTCAGTAATTGATAAAAGACACTAAGCAATTTTAAACAATGTATGTAGAAAGGTGCTCAGCACTATAAAACCTCTGACCCTCGAATCACCCCTGGCTATAAAAGAGCTTCAAGCCAGAGGAAATCAGGATGATCAGTTCCTCTAAACATCAATTTTAAAACTATTGCACATTCACATTTGGTATTTCTATTGACTTAATTTGCCTTTCAATGACAACATTTATATGCCTATTACAGATCATTAATGGGTTTTAGTGCATTTTCTGTATTGCTTTCTTAATTTGTTGTGTTTTTCATAGTTTCATTGTAGCAGAAATAGTCACCCAAGAAATAGATCAATTTAAACAAAAAACAAAGTTCTTGGTAAAATAGCCACTCAAGTACCGACTAATTGGTGGCTTATAACGACTGATTTAATGTATAGACAGACAGTTATGCTCAAATTCTGATATAGAATAAATCGACAACAGCCTTTAAAAGCGACTTAGTTTACAGCATACACATTCTAGTCTTTGCTAACACAATGATACTGCCATATAACTTCTTTATTTACGCTTTAGGCTTGTCAGAAACAAGAGATTAACTTTTTTCATCTTTAACATCCTTAACACAGATGCCAGCAAATAGAGAAGACATTAAATACTCTTCCAGTGGTGTTTTCTGATCAGTGTTAGAACAAACCTCTGTAGCAAATATCAATTTTATATTTAATCATTAATTTATTAATTTATCAGAACATGTTGGCTGCCCTTTTAATATATATGTTGCATTACAGTGCAAATTAATTGCTGCGTATAACCTTGCTGGGCAGGTTTTCTACAGTATGTTTTATGCTATTGGAGCTCTGCAGCTATTGAACAGTTGTAGGAACTCTTGCTTCCAAAAGTTTCATTTTCCAGAGGTTTCAAAATGCAAAATTCTCTTATTGGCCACACGGCGGCGCCATTTCTCTTCTAATGCCACCAATACACTTTACATAACATAACTAGGTGATCAAAGGCTGGATTAATATACACCGCAGAAGCTGCTGCAAATAGCAGATTAACCCCTCACCTAATTTAATAGCAGTCCATCCAGGAGATGGAAGTTTAGACTGCATCTTAAAAGTAATATGTTTTAATTAATGGGGATAAGAGCATCACTGCAGTAAAAGCTGCAGTTTCATTTAAGAAATAGATCATAGCAAAACAAGTGAGAATCTAGAGGAATCAGAAGCAATACATTGATGCAGATGGATCCAGAATGTGTGTAGAAGTGTGAGGAATAGAGAGTCCACCCCTCACTCACAGCACCACTGTTTGTGTGTGTTCTGCATATCAATGGCAAAGACATGAGGTCATTCTCAGCAACTAAATCAATTTCTATCTTGCCAGGGTTGTTTTACCCACTAAACATTGCTAAAGAGAGATGTTTCCAGGATGTGTCTGCAACAGAGCAGCTCTGATAACAGAAGGGTGCAAACAATGCTGTCATTGGGGATTTAAACACTTAAACATTACAGCATATGTCACTTTTCTCTCCTTAATGTGTTCTGCCTCTAATCTGCAGCACCCTTTACTGTTGCTGATCCTCATCCTCTTGCTTCTTGCATAACAAACTAGGTAGGTGTTTTCCTGCAGGCCACAGGATTAACAGACAGAGGAGGGTGATGAAAACAAGAAAAATGAGGGCGAAAAATTGATTTAGCTGTTTATACATGGTTTTAAATAGCAGCACTGTTCACTGAGGTAAAACAGAAACAGCTTGGCAAGGAAATTACATAAAACTTTCTTTCTCTGTCTGATATGAAATCAAACTATTTATGTTCTGCTTTAATCTGCTTCTCTCCATCTATTGTTTATACTCTCTCATCCTTGCAGGGTGTTGGGGGTGGGAGGGTGGTGGGGGGCAGGTATTTATCTGCAGTGGTCGTTAAGAAAGAGACGGTGTACAGCACTGACTGGCCACCACAGGGCAAACACCATGCACAAACTCCAACCTAAATGCAATTTAAGGAGATAAACTAAACTAACAGTCTTTTTTTATGCAACAGGAAGCTGGAGCTGACCCCTGCATGAAAGACACTAGGCCAGGATTAGGATCACTAGGCCAGGATTCAAATTTGATGGCTTACAGTAAAAGTTTAAACAATTTAAGACACTTATATGTTAATGTCATGGTGCTGAAAGAATCTGATTTACATTTGAGTTACTTCCAGACACACCTATAGATTTAACTCTAGACAACATTTCAGAAACACAGCTCTTACTGTGATTGGCTGGATGTGCTCTCTTCATCCTCTAATATGGGAGTTGGCTCAGAGCTCGTCTGCCTGGCTGTATGTTTCCTGGACGGGGCCGCCTTTTACAGTTGTTTTTGTATCTATGCTTCTGTCTCTTTGAACCCCAGTTG